TTAGTGTGTACAGTAAAACCTTGTTAGTCTGGTCACTTTGGTTTGTTTGTGCAGTAAAACCTTGTTAGTCTGGACACTTTAGTTAGTGTGTACAGTAAAACCTTGTTAGTCTGGACATGTTGGTTTGTGTGTACAGTAAAACCTTGTTGGTCTGGTCACTTTGGTTTGTGTGTACAGTAAAACCTTGTTGGTCTGGTCACTTTGGTTTGTGTATACAGTAAAACCTTGTTGGTCTGGATACTTTGGTTTGTGTATACAGTAAAACCTTGTTGGTCTGGACACTTTGGTTTGTGTGTACAGTTAAACCTTGTTGGTCTGGACATGGTGGTTTTTGTGTACAGTAGAACCTTGTTAGTCTGGACACTTTGGTTTGTGTATAAAGTAAAAATATTGATAGCCTGTACACTTTGGTTTGTATATAGTGGAAGCCTGTTAGTCTGGACATGTTTGTTTGCGTGTATAGGAAAACCTTGTAAGTCTGGACACTTGTGTGTACTGTAGAACCTTGTTTATCTGGACATGTTGGTTTGTGTGTACAGTAGAACATTGATAGTCTGTACACTTTGGTTTGTATACAGTGGAAGCTTGTTAGTCTGGACACTGTGGTTTGTGTGTACAGTAAAACATTGATAGTCTGGACACTTTGGTTTGTGTGTTCAGTAATACCTTGTTAGTCTGGACATGTTGGTTTTTGTGTCTAGTAAAACCTTGTTAGTCTGGACACTTTGGCTTGTGTGTACTGTAGAACCTTGTTAGTCTGTACACTTTGGTTTGTGTGTTCAGTAATACCTTGTAAGTCTGGACATGTTGGTTTTTGTGTCCAGTAAAACTTTGTTAGTCTGGACACTTTGGTTTGTGTAAACAGTAAAACCTTGTTAGTCTGGACACTGTGGTTTGTGTGTACAGTAAAACATTGATAGTCTGGACACTGTGGTTTGTGTGTTCGTAATACTTTGTTAGTCTGGACATGTTGGTTTGTGTGTACAGTAGAACTTTGATAGTCTGTACACATTGGCTTGTGTGTACTGTAGAACCTTGTTAGTCTGGACATGTTGGTTTGTGTATAGTGGAACTTTGTTAGTCTGTACACTTTGGTTTGTGTACAGTGGAACCTTGTTAGTCTGGACACTTTGGTTTGTGTGAACAGTAAAACCTTGATAGTCTGGTCACTTTGGTTTTTGTGTCCAGTAAAACCTTGTCAGTCTGGACACTTTTGTTTGGGTACAGTAAAACATTAAAAGTCTAAACATGTTGGTTTGTGTATACAGTAAAACATTGAAAGTCTGGACATGTTGGTTTGTGTGTACAGTAATACCTTGTTAGTCTGGACATGTTGGTTTGTGTGTACAGTAAAACCTTGTTAGTCAGGTCACTTTGGGGTGCGTGTACAGTAAAACCTTGTTGGTCTGGACACTTTGGTTTGTTTGTACAGTAAAACCTTGTTGGTCTGGACACTTTGGTTTGTGTGTACAGTAAAACCTTGTTGGTCTGGACACTTCGGTTTGTGTACAGTAAAACATTGATAGTCTGGACATGTTGGTTTGTGAGTACAGTAATACCTTGTTAGTCTGGACATGTTGGTTTTTGTGTACAGTAATACCTTGTTAGTCTGGACATGTTTGTTTTTGTGTACAGTAGATCTATGTTAGTCTGGTCACTTTGGTTTGTGTGTACAGTAAAACCTTGGTAGTCTGGTCACTTTGGTTTGTGTATACAGTAAAACATTGATATTCTGTACACTTTGGTTTGTATATAGTGGAAGCTTGTTAGTCTGGACATGTTTGTTTGTGTGTATAAGAAAACCTTGTAAGTCTGGACACTTTGGCTTGTGTGTACTGTAGAACCTTGTTAATCTGGACATGTTGGTTTGTGTGTACAGTAGAACATTGATAGTCTGGACACTTTGGTTTGTGTGTTCAGTAATACCTTGTTAGTCTGGACATGTTGGTTTTTGTGTCTAGTAAAACATTGTTAGTCTGGACACTTTGGCTTTTGTGTACTGTAGAACCTTGTTAGTCTGGACACTTGTGTGTACTGTAGAACCTTGTTAATCTGGACACTTTGGTTTGTGTGTACAGTAAAACATTGATAGTCTGGACACTTTGGTTTGTGTGTTCAGTAATACCTTGTTAGTCTGGACATGTTGGTTTTTGTGTCTAGTAAAAAATTGTTAGTCTGGACACTTTGGCTTGTGTGTACTGTAGAACCTTGTTAGTCTGGACATGTTTGTTTGTATGTACAGTAGAACCTTGTTAGTCTGGACACTTTGGTTTGTGTATACAGTAATACCTTATTAGTCTGGACATGTTGATTTATGTGTACAGTAGAACCTTGTCAGTCTGGACACTTTGGCTTGTGTAAAGTGGAACCTTGATAGTCTGTACAGTCTGGTTTGTGTACAGTGGTAAGTCTGGGCATGGTAAACTAATACTGAACATTCCTATCACGCTGAAAAGAAAGTTCTACTACTTATATCGTCGTGTATTAGGAAATATTGTTGTCGAGTCGTGTCTTCACAAATATTAAGAGAAAACGATTCTTGAAACACAAATAGATGGATGACTGATGAAAAGTTTGAAGTTATTTTTGCAGTATAACTATAAGTGGCGAATATGATGTAACGTTAACCCACCAAAGACATTTAGAACTAAACACTTTTCAATCTGATGTGATGAAAAACAAGAGGCCCAGAGGGCCTGTATCGCTCACCTGGATACCTAAGCAATCATGGCAAACTATTCTCCAAATGAGATCAAGGGAATATGCCAGACCCCAAGGCCAATCCTTGTAGCATAGCTATATTAGATTTTTCATGCCCAGCAATTTTATGTATGGTTATGGGGTGGGGATCTCAACTGTTTCCAAGCTTTGACTCAGAAACTAGGTCCCTAGAGTTGTGGCCAGACCCCAGGATCGATTCTAATATCGTGACTGCATTTGTCTCTTTTTGCCAAGCATTTGTATATATAGTTTTGGGGTGGGGATCTCAACCGTTTCAAAGTTATGACCCAGGGGCCAAGTCTGCAAGGGTGGGGCAGACCCTGGGATCAATTCTAATGTCATGACTGCATTCGTCTCTTTATGCCCAACAATTGTATATATAGTTTTGGGGTGGGGATATTAACCATTTCAAAGTTATGACCCAGGGGTTAAGTCTCCAAGGGTGGGGCAGTCCCCAAGGCCAACCTGGAAGCATATGTGCAATCATCTCTTTATACTCAGCAATTGTATATATACGGTTATAGGGTGGGGCTCTCAACTGTTTCCAAGCTGTGACTAAGAAACTAGGTCCCTAGGGGTTCGGTCAGACCCCAGGGTCTATTCTGATATCATGATTGCATTCGTCTCTTTATGCCCAGCATTTGTATATATAGTTTTGGGGTGGGGATCTCAACCGTTTTAAAGTTATGGCCCAGGGACTATGTCTCCAAGGGTGGGGCCAGACCCTAGGGACATCCTGGAAGCAAATGTGCATTCTTCTCTTTATACTCAGCAATTGTATATATGGTTATATGGTGGGGATCTCAACCATTTCCAAGTAATACATTTTATTGGCCCCACCCCTTAGCCCGGGGGGTCAGCCCCACCATTTGTACAATTTTGAATCCCTGCCTCCCATGAATACTTCCGACCAAATATGATCAATATCCATGGCATAGTTCTGCAGAAGAAGTCATTTATAGCAATATAACCAAATTGCCCCCTTTTGGCCCCGCCCCTCAGCCCCCTGGGGGGTCAGCCCAACCGTTTGTACAATTTTGAATCTCCACCACCTAGAGATGCTTCCAGTCAAATAAGGTTGATATCCATCACTTAGTTCCAGAGAAGAAGTCACTTAAAGCAGTATAGCCAAATACCCTTTTTGGCCCTGCCCCTCAGCCCCCTGGGGGGTCAGCCACACCATTTGTACAATTTTAAATCCCTGCCTCCCAGGAATGCTTTTGATCAAATATGATTGATATCCAGTGCACAGTTCTACAGAAGAAGTCGTTTGTAGCAATATAGCCAAATGGCCCCCTTTTGGCCCCGCCCCTTAGACCCCTGGGGAGTCAGCCCCACCATTTGTACAATTTTTAATCACCATCACCTAGGGATGCTTCCAGTTAAATATGGTTGATATCCACTTCTTAGTTCCAGAGAAGAAGTCGCTTAAAGCAGTATAGCCAAATATCCTTTTTGGCCCTGCCCCTCAACCCCTGGGGGGTCAGCCACACCATTTGTACAATTTTAAATCCCTGTCTCCCAGGAATGCTTTAGATCAAATATGATTGATATCCAGTGCACAGTTCTACAGAAGAAGTCGTTTGTAGCAATATAGCCGAATTGCCCCCTTTTGGCCCTGCCCCTAAGCCCCCTGGGGAGTCAGCCCCACCATTTGTACAATTTTTAATAACCATCACCTAGGGATGCCTCCAGTCAAATATGGTTGATATCCACTTCTTAGTTTCAGAGAACGCTTAAATCAATATGGGCAAATTGACCCCTTTTGGCCCCGCCCCTCAGCCCCCTGGGGGGTCAGCCCCACCATTTGTACAATTTTGAATCCCCACCACCTAGGGATGCTTCCAGTCAAATTTAGTTTAATTCCAACCAGTGGTTAAGAAGAAAAAGTCGTTTAAAGATATTGTTGACGTACGGACGGACAGACGGACGCCGGACGGACGGACGCCACGGTATGGCATAAGCTCACCTTGGTCCTTCGGACCAGGTGAGCTAAAAAAAAGAGTTTCGTGAAGTGCTTTGGCATGTTGGATAGACGTAGTATGTAGGTATACATAATCATGCAACAAATAAATTGAATCGAATATTGCAAATATGGTACAGGTCTATTTGTTGCTTTGGATACTGTAATTGGAAGTAATTGGAAAATATTTTTCACTGTCACATACCTGCCAACCCCGGAAATACTAAAAGAGGGTTACCCTCTTTTGAAAATAAAAAAGAGGGTCATAGTGCATGCGCGACGGCTTTTTTTGCAACAAATATAAGAAAAATCAATATTAAATTAGAACTTAAATATTTTAATGATGTAAAAGTTACATTCTACATTCATTGAACTGTTCTTCCAGTAAATCTAGCTGATCCTCATCCACAATACCAAATTCAAAGCTGAAAAAAAAAAAAGATTTGTCAACAACATAACTTATAATATACAAGAGGCCCAATGGGCCTGAATCTCTCACCTGGTATTTATCTCACACTTGTAATCTTAAAAGTGGACTAATATACAGCTACAGGCAAAATATCTGTGTTCGATCCATTTGAATCTATTAAATGATTTAAACATATGACACCTGCGACCTTGAAAGTTTATAGCCTTCCGTTCCGGCATATTTCTGGCTAAATATCCTTACCCTGGACCTTTTGAATATTCAGAACAAGTCATTTAAAGATTTAAACATATTTGAGCCCTGTGACCTTGAATATCAGCAAAGGTCATTCATTTGAACAAACTTGGTAGCCCTTCATCCCAGCATGTTACTGGCCAAATATCATTATCCTAGGCTTCTTGGTTATTCAGAAGAAGTTGTTTAAAGGTTTCAAGCATATTTGACCCCTGTGACCCTGAAAATGGGTGAAGGTCATTTATTTGAACAAACTTGGTAACTCTCTATTACAGCATGCTACTGGTCAAAGAGCATCATCCTAGGCCTCTTGGTTATTGAGAAGAAATTGTTTAAAGGTTTTAAACATATTTGACCCCTGTGACCTTGAATATCTGTAAAGGTAATCCATTTTAACAAAACTTAGTAGCCCTTTATCCTAGCATGTTACTGCCTAAATATCATTATCCTAGGCCTCTAAGTTATTCAGAAGAAGTCGTTTAAAGATTTTTTAAGACAATTGACCCATGTGACCTTGAAAATGGGTGAAGGTCATTTATTTGAACAAACTTGGTAGCCCTTCATTCCAGCATGCTACTGGCCAAATATCATCACCCTGGGAATTTTGGTTATTCAAAAGAAGTTGTTTAAAGTAAAATATTGACGCCGGACGTGCCAGGTGAGCTAAAAATTAATTCATAATAAAACATATGATACTGTGTTTTTACAGGCATTTTTTTGGGTCAATTAAAATGGTCCTGACAATAACATGTCACATTCTGCTAATATATAATACCATTTTTGTTTCTGTCAATGAAAATGATCCTGACAATAAGAAGTTGCACCCTATTCATATAAAATATCAGTTTTATACGAGTAGGGTTTGAACTCTTATTGTTAGTTGACAGAAACAAATCATCAAATGCCTGTGCATGTTTTTGAATGTCTTAGTAACGTCGTTTTTAGCACCAGATCCAACTGAAATATGCGATGTACAAAGACTAGAATGCAGCGTTTGGTCCACAACTGCTGGACTTAGTACACTATAACTCATTTTCCTACAACATTTGATATGTGCACAATTATATTTTCTTTTAGCATTTCGTGTAGTAGAACCTGCAGGTCCCGCTAACGACTTCTTCCTTCAAGAAGACATAATGTTACCCTCAAAATACGATCTATTCTACGTTAACAACAATTGTAAAAACAACTCTATTATTTGTTAAAACACCCGACTAATTACTTGTCGGCAAGTTCAATAACAACGGTCTTTATATAAACATTTGTAAAAAGAGTTCAACAATTCACAACTTACCTGTTGGTGAGAAACGGAAAATAATCGTCTTTCTTATGAAGAAGGATAGAAAAGTCTAGAGAATTCCGAGTGACTTCGGTAACTTCTAATATATGAAAAGATTCTGGGTGAAAACAGGTAAAATTGACGAAATCCGGGTCAAAATCGTAACCCGGCGGGTGAAGTTATGAAAGTCGATGAAATCGGGTCACTTGACAGGTATGCTGTCAAATTATCATATTTATTTTTATATTTGTAACTTTATAACACATACATTTTTCTTTATAGGATTTACACTTTTACCATGTATCTTACTTTATTTGAATCTATTTAAAGATGTGTTTGTCTATTTTTATTATATCTTAATTGTTTACTGTCATCAGTGTTATGACTTTTATTTCCTGAATACAAATAAGTCCGAACTAACCTTGCTCTGCAACCTTAACATGTCTGACGTGATTTACAGACAGACTTCATTTGTAAAACAGACGGCTTTTCTATTCTTACTACACATTCATGCTACGCATGTTTGTGGACCTACAAAAGACGTCAGTGACTTGGATATTTTTCTGCAATTTTGTTTTTGTTTTTTTATACTTAAATTTATTTGATTATCAAGTCTGTTCCATATTGTTGATGAAGTATGTACACTGGCAACCTCATCTATCTTTTTTACATGCTGAGGATAATATCAAACACTCGTCCTGTTTATATCGTTAAGATGATTTGGATCTCCATTCCTCTAGCTATTGGCCATGCTAATAATTAGTCTACTGAGATACTGAAATTAATTATGAAGTGTCTTATTTGACAGTTTCATTCTTGAATTTTTACATGATATATCACACAACTAGGAAGTGAATTAGGAGACATAAGTTACGCATCAAGTAACGCCACATTGTTGTAGAGCCTCACAGGTCTCGTGATAGAGGTACATACTAAGCTAATGTTGGACACTGTATCATATATATAAGAGACTCCTGCCACCTTGAGATTTTTTTTTTTCCAAATATGAAAATAACTGGAGGGCTGCCAAAATTTAGGGTTGGGTCTCTCAGGCTTCTCTATAGAAGTGAAGGTCAGGTGACACATCCCACTGTGATGTCATTTTCACACATGTGTCACACAGAAACAAAACGAGGGGTCATCTCATAACTTTCTCCTCACAGAACAGTCATCTCAAACACATTAATATGGCTGTTATTTAGTTAAGGCTAAACAAAAATATGTTTGTTTCAGGTACCACGACCGACCCCAATTTTTACCTACCAAATTTAGCTGGCTTGAACGCAGTGTTGGGATAACTTGTCCACTGGATGGAAACAAATTGATGGACAAACAAACAAGGCAACTACCATTATATATATACTAATAGTATATATAACCCTCTCTGTTACATAGTTAGGTATCAAAACCAAATTTAGATCCCTTATTATTATTTAAAAGACCTATAATATACGAAAATATAAATGGTGATTTTTGTACTTTCTAAAATCCCCCTCCTCTTGACCTTGATCTTGGGTGTACTAACCCTAAAGAGGTATATGTGACACACCGTCTGCAAATACTACACATATCTATCAAATTTCATAGGGCTACCTGATCTTTTTTCATTTTACTGTCATAAAACATTCTTCTTTTTCATTCAATATGCATACAATATAAATGAGAAAAGATGAATATGAAATCTTTTCTTAGCTATAAAAATATTACATGTAATTGATTAGGTTTGTAAAATTATTCACATACATTGGATTCTATTTTGCAAATATTATTACGGAAACACATTTTAGAGAATATTTTTAATACATTCAATTTATGGTATATGTTTGTAACAGACTTTATTCAAACTTGGTTACTGTTTGGAGATAAAAGGTTGCTTTCTAGCTGACCTGTATTTTATAACACTATGGGAACTTATTAGAATAACTAGAATTTTGTTTTTGTGAATAAAAACATATGTCTCCGCTTATTAGCCAATAAAAAAACTCCGGTATAAAAAAATTAACAAAGGGCCATATCGTTTCATATAGTGGGGCACAAGACCCGAATTTAAAATTCGACACTCCTACTTCCCAAAATACATTAAAACTTTAGCAAGTTTGGTCAACGTAGGTGAAACTAGAACACTGACAGGTCAGTAAGGGCCCATCTTGTGGCAATATATATCCCCCATAATCATCAAGAAGCAATCTGCCCATATAGCTGAGCTTAACCCTTTCACCACTGTAGACCAAAATGGACTCATCCAGATCAATGCATGGTAGAGTCTACTAAAGTTACATAGGGGTGAAAGGGTTAACGTTTGACATTTGGACTTAAAAGAAAAATTGCAAAGAAGCAAAATATACATTTTATATGTACAATGATGTGAGTCTTGTTTCCTTCCACTTCCATATTTGCTGGCTAACAGAAACGTAAATACCAATGCAATACTCATTTGTTAGCTTTGATTTGTTTTATTTCACCTTAAATACCTCCCCTATCAAGAGCCAGGGTCAAAGTAAGAGATCCACTTTGTCTTTGACCTTTAGACCCAAATGACCTTGACCCAGTGACCCTGATCTTTGGTCAGTTGACTCATTCTTCAATTCCGACTAACTTTGCTTCATAATATCATATCAGTGAAAAACACAAAACTTTACCTTGACCTTGAACCTTTGGAACCTGTAATCTGGACCTTTGGTCAGGTGACTCTGTGTTAAGTTCTGAACAACTTTGCTTCATAATAACATACAAACAAGAGGCCCAATGGGCGTGCATCGCTCACCTGGTATAAAACTCACACTTGTAACCTAAAAGTGATCTAAAATAGAGCTACAGGCAAAATATCAGTATTTATGATTAAAATTCATTCAAAAGACCCTGTTAATTTTTTTTAAAACATTTCACCCCTGTGATTGAAAGTCAAACAAAGTCATTATGTTGAACATATTGTATAGCCTTTCATCTCAGGATGCAGCTTGCAAAGTATAAACATCCTGGGACCCATGGTTGTTCATAAGAGGATGTTTAAAGATTTTAAACAAATTTGACCCCTGTGGCCTTGAATATGAGTCAAAGTCATTCACTATAATAAACATAGTAGTCCTTGATCCCAACATGCTACTGACTAAATATCAACATCCTGAGCCTTTTGGTTATTCAGAACAAATTGTTTAAATATTTTGAACATAGCTGCTCCTTGTGACCTTGAATATGATTCAAGGTCATCCATTTAAACAAACTTGGTAGCCCTTGATCCTGGTATGCTACTGACTAAATATCATCACCCTGGGCATTTTGGTTATTGAGAAGAAGTTGTTTAAAATTTTTAACATATTTGACCCCTGTGACCTTGAATATGGGTGAAGGTCATTCATTTGAACAAACTTTGTACCCCTTCATCTCAACATACTACTGGCCAAATATCATCACCCTGTGCATTTTGGTTATTCAGAAGAAGTTGTTTAATGTTTTTCATATATTTGACCCCTGTGACCTTGAATATA